TCTCAAGAAAAAAAAAAAGGCAGGGCATGAGCCACTGTGCCTGGCCAGGTATTTGCTTTCAAAGTGAGATGTTTGCCCCTAGAGGTATACAAAAAATTCAATGGTATATAGAAAGAAAATACTAGAATTTTTCTTTACTATTTTTTAATGGGGCTATACTAATAGTTTAGCATTCAGATTGAATACTAAAGGAAGGAGGGAAGGAGGGAGAATGAAAGGAGGAAGGAAGAGGGAGAATGAGAGGAGGAAGGAAGAGAAAGAAGGAAAGAAAGGAGAAAGAAAAAGGGCTGGGCGTGGTGGTTCACACCTGTAATCCCAGCACTTTGGGAGGATGAGGCAGGTGGATCATGAAGTCAAGAGATCAAGACCATCCTGGCCAACATGGTGAAACCCCATCTCTACTAAAAATATAAAACTTAGCTGGGCGTGGTGGCACGTGCCTATAGTCCCAGCTACTCAGGAGTCTGAGACAGGAGAATAGCTTTAGCCTGGGAGGCAGAGGTTGCAGTGAGCTGAGATCACACCACTGCACTCCAGCCAAGCAACACAGCAAGAATCCGTCTCAAAAAGAAAAAACACAAAGAAGGAAAGGAAGAAAGAAATTTTAGAATATTGGGGCCAAAAAGAAGGAAGTCACAGTTCAGGATCAGGAATCAGAACAGCTTTAGACCTCTCCATAGCAACATAGAAGCAAGAACGCAATGAAAGAATGCCTTTGTAATCTGAAGGAATTACAAATTGTCTACATCCCTATTTACAAATTGTAAATATCCCAATTACAAAATGTCTATATCCCTATCCTATAGACAGGGATATAGACAAATTATTTTTATTTCAGAATTCAATCCAATCAAATTATTAATCAGGGTGAGAAAAGAATACAGATATTTTCAGACACACAATTTCTCAAAAACAGAAAAATTACTTCCCAGAAAGCTCTTTTTCAAAAAGCTATCAATATGCTTCATTAACATACAGTTATGAAGCAAGAAAGAGGAAGACATGAAGTACCAAAAGTCAGGGGATCAAAACCAGGTGCAAAGGAAGGCAAAGATAAAGGGAAATCCTGGATAAGAGCAGAGGGCAAGGCCAGGCACAGTAGTTCACGCCTGTAATTTCCGCACTTTGGGAGGCCAAGGCAGGAGGATCACTTGAGGCCAGGAGTTCAAGACCAGCCTGGGCAACATAAAACCCCATCTCTACATAAAAACAAAAACAAAAACATAAAATGTTAGCCAGGCATGGTGGCACTTGCCTGTAGTCCCAGCAACCTGGGAGCCTGAGGCAGGAGTATTGCTTGAGCCTGGGAGGTCGAGGCTACAGGGAGCCATGATCTTACCACTGTACTGCTACCTGGGCAACAGAGCAAGACCCTCTCTTTAAAAAAAAA